GAAGGGATGGAGGGAGAGATGGAGGGATGGAGGGTGGAATAGAGGGAGGAATGAAGGGATGGATGGAGGGAGGGATGGAGGGATAGATGAAGGAATGGATGGATGGATGAAGGGATGGAGGGATGGAGGGAGGAATGGAGGGATGGAGGGATGAATGGAGGGATGGAGGGATGGATGGAGGGATGGATGGATGGAGGAATAGATGAAGGGATGGAGGGAGGGATGGAGGGATGGAGGGATGGAGGGGTGGATGGGAGCCGATAGCAGCTCCCTCTTTGCTTGTCTGCAACCTCAGCATTCTGAACTGCCTCTCTGGCACTCAGCACGTGGGGGATAGTTTCTGATGACAGTGACTTCTCCATTGTAGATAACATCTGTGTTAGTAAACTCTTTTACCTATCAAGCTTGCCACTTACTTTAACCACATTGTCACACTGCCTTGGAGGCCTCTATGGGTTCCATCAATGATGGTGTCTTAGGCACACTGCACACTGCCTTTGGCCTCTGTCCACCATGTAGCCTTATTTCCATTTCTCTCCCTCTCTAGCCATAGGGGCCAGGGAGGCAGACCCTGCTCTGCTTCTCCTTACATGATTCCCATGCTTGTGAACATGAGTAGATGCCTTAGGTGAGGATTATTTAGTTTTTATTTTATGTCAAGTTTCTATTTTTCAATGTTGTTTCTTTCCCTGGGGCCTGGGAGCAGGGTTCCTGAACCTTGGTAGATCTCCCTGCCATTGATACTACTGATGCTGAGGTGGGGTGCCATGAAGATGTCTGCAAGTAGACCCCCTTTCTTTCCATTTCTTTGAGAGTCCAGCTGACCTGATCCTCACTGTGTTCAGGAAGCTGCTGTGTGGGCAGGAAGGGAGACAGGAAGGACCCCATAAGAAACTGCTGATTCTGTGCTTGAGAGAAGTTCCTGGTGGCCAGAGAGTGATGCTGGCTGCCTCCTGCCATAGCTCTGGGATCCCGTAATCACCCTTGGAGGTCCTCCTGTCCCGTGGAGACAGGCAGAGCTGGCCAGTGGTGTGCACAGGCTGGCGTGGGGGTCTGGGAACAGGAAAGTGTGTCCCGCATGCCCTTCCCAGTGGGAAGAAACCCATGGTGGATCCCTGCTGCTGTTCTGGGCACTGCCTCCCCCGTGGGGTGATCTAGCACCTCTCCTCCCTGAGGCTTTAAGCACTCATGTTTATCTCCCCCATCTGCACACTCTGAGAAGTGCAGAAGAGACAGGTATTATTATCACCGTTTAGCAGATAGAGAAACTGGGGCGCAGAGCAGGTGCGGTGGATGGGTGGAGCTGAGGCTGAGAACACAGGTCTGACCCCGGCTTGCAAGACATACAAATGACAAACTTCATGTAGCTTGACTGCAAGAAATTCAGACGGTCACCAAATTTGGGAAATAATTTCCCTTGCAGGGGAGGGAAGGAGGTGGGTATGTGGTGTCAGGATAGCCTGGGCTTTATGTCGTGATGGTGATGCTTGGGTTCTTTTTTCCAGTTGGGTCGTGTGTGAGTACATGGCTGAAATATACATCCTTTATTTCTTTTCTTTGTATCTTGAATATCACACACTAAGTTAAAGAAGTTCTGGTAATACAAAAAGCATACGATTATTGTCCAAAATGAAGGCAGGTTAACTTTTGTTTTGGAGACCCTGAGTATCTAGGATTAAAAGGATAAAAAGGATTGCATAGAGCAACAGAAAGGGTGGTGGGAATGGAGAGCAGCCATTTAGCAGAGAATAATTGTGGAATTTCTTATTATGAAGTACAAAATTTAATTGACCATTGTGCAATTATTTAATGAAGGTCTACTACATACTAAGTATTAGTTTAGACTCTGGAAAACACAATATGGTTCATGTTACCAGAGCACTCTCTTTCCACATTCTTTTTTCTTTCTTTCTTTCTTTTTTTTTTTTTTTTGCCCCCTTGGGTACTGGGGATGGAACCCAGGGGCACTCTGCAATTGAGCTACATCCCCAACCCTTTTAATTTTGAGACAGGGTCTCCCTAAATTGTTGGAGTCTTGTTAAGTTGCTGAACTTGACCTCAAATTTGGGATCCTCCTGCCTCAGCCTCCCAAACTGCAGGGATTAAAGGCATGTGCCACCACACCCATATCATAGCCCTCTCATTCTTGTGAGAAACAGGTCAAGATAGGTCAGGAGTCAGTGAATACTGGGCTGAAGGCATGAAGAAGGGGTTTAAATAGAACCGTTGGGGGGAGAAGAACCTTTGGTGAACCCAAAGGCTCCTCTGGGTATCTCTCACCATACAAATGTGGGGAGCAGCATGGCTCACTCAGGAGGAATGAGATGAGGTGGAGACAGAGCTAATGAGATAGGCCTAAACCCCTACTAGGGTTCTGGTTCCACCCTAGGTGTGCCCGGGCCTGTGCATTATACTCTAATGAGGGGTTGGGCCAATAGTGACGTGTTCTTTTTTTTTTTTTTTTAATGAGGTGCTGTTTTGCATAGATAAATAGTATGATTGTGATGTGGGAACCAAATGGCAGGTCATTATGCAAAGAGCAGCAGCCGAGGTGAGATTATGGATTATGAAACCAGTTCTGCTTCAGGCCTGCTGCCTGAGCGTGGGAACTAGGAGGTGACTGTCTGGGCCTCCACCTGGGCCAACACCATTGAGGCTGCTCTCCTGACAGCTGAGTGGGACAGCAAGTTGTCTTCTTCTCCACTTTCTACCTGAACTTCATATCCCAGGCAGGGCAATTGGAAGGGGAAAGGCCAGCGGTTCCCCCTCCACTGTCTACACCTAGAAACATACTCTGCTGTGGGTGGGACCAAAGCTCTGCCTTTAATGTACATGGAACTGATTCCTGGCTTATAAAATGAGAGCTGGGCTTCAGGTGCTACAGCAGATGAGTCCTGGACAGTCCTGAGTGAGGCTCAAGGAGAGCTTATGCCTGGGAGGAGTCAGGACCCAGGGAAAAGAAAAACATCTTTGGCTCTGGGGTTACAAAGGGTAGCTGGTTGTCAGAGGAGGAGAGGATGTGAAGAGAGACCGATTACCAGGGAGGAAACTCAGATGGGCTGGAACAAGATGGAGAAAACAGTCAGGGAAGAAGAACAGGGCTTGAATCTTCAGGCAGAGGTGTCTCCCATAGTGGCCCCACTTAAGTGGGACTCCAGGCTGGGCGGGTGAAGCACACCTGTAATCCCAGTGGCTCCAGAGGCTGAGGTAGGAGGATCATGAGTTCAAAGCCAGCCTCAACCATTTAGTGAGGGCCTGAGCAACTCAGCAAGATCTGTCTCCAAATAAAATATTAAAAAGGGCTGGGGATGTGGCTCAGTGGTTAAGAACCCCTGGGTTCAATCCCTAGTACCCCCCAAAAAAATAAAAAGTAGGACTCTGTAGCTACTGGAATGTCAATTAGGTAATAATTGCTCGTAGCTCGTGGTTTGTGCATTTATTTTTTATTTTTGTGGTGCTGGATGTAGAGCCCAGGGCCTTGCACACACTGGGCAGGAGATCTACTAGCCCTTAGTTTTTACTCTGATGTGCTGACATATGACTCCCTTTCGTCAAGTTCAGGAAACCTATTAAGGGTGAGCATTGCTGAGTGTCCAAGAGGCCAGATCCAGGAGATAAATAAAATCAAAGTCAGCACTAAGTGAGGAGAGGCTGGAGTCACAGGTGGCTGGATCCCAGGTGGTGGCTGGAGTTATGGCCGTGGTGGCAGAACTCCCTACATGCACATCACAAAGAGGCAGCCTGAGGGACACCTCTTCTGTGTGCCTAGGCAAAGCCATCCATTCATTTTGTCAATTGACAACTGTCTTTTGAGCACCTACTATAGATCCTGTCTTCATGGAAGCAACCTCAGAATAACCTCCTCACAATACACACATCTGTTTTTCCCTGGTCTATCGGGACACTGTCACAACCTGCTCCTGTTCTTCCCAGTTTTCCCTGGTCTATCAGGACACGGTCACAACATGGGCTCTATGGTAGAAGTGAGACTCAGTTAATGGTCTTCATTACATTTGGACCTCCACCTGGTGTAGCAGCTGGGGATACAGCAGGATGGGAATTGGGGGAGTTGACTCCACTCATCATTCAAGGTCTTGAGTCTCAGTGGACCGCCTCTGGATAGCACCCAGATGTGTCGGGGACGTGGCCAGGAGTGCTGATGATGCAATTCAGTTAGGACTGATAATGAGCTAAGTGCTGTATCTTTATTATGATCAAATATTGAACTATATTAAGTACCTACAGTACCTCAGGCCTTCCCCAGGCATGCTACAATAAAATCGTAAGTCTATACACTCATAACCCCCACTTATCCAACTTCTTTAATAACCTGCCCTTAAATTGAACTGTAAAACCTACTGTGACCCTTATCCCGGAGCACTGAGAAACTGCCTTCATGGAGGATAACAAGGATCATGTTCTATGTCATCCTAGAAATGGCCTTTGGTCTTTATTTGACTATGTTCTCACTGTAGGGAACAAGTGTTGTTGCCTACCACACCATGAATTCCAGCCCTGGGAAATGAATTTGAAGGAAATGATTCCAAAGAAGCAAAAAACTGCGTGCTTGAAAATGTTCACTGCTACTCAAAATTGGGAACTGAACACAGAGGAAATTTCACTATTAGAGGACCAGTTGAACAAAAAGTAGTAAATCTGTATGCAAATGTATCAGTCTGGTTTTTATTACATAACAAAGAATCTGAGGCTGGTTAATTTTATAAAGAAAAAGGTTTCTTTAGCCACAGTTCTGGAGGTTTGAGAACATGGTGCTGGCATTAGCTTGGCTCTGGTGAGGACCACATGGTGGATGGCAATACGATGTCAGGAACTCATGGGGTAGGAAGAGATCATACCACCAGACAGGAGTCAGTAAGAGACCAGGGTCCCACAGTCCCTTCTGAGGGCATTATGGGCCTCCTGCTAGGCCTTCCCTCTTAAAGCTCCTACCAGCTTGACACTGCCACACTGAGCTTCCAATACATGAACCTGGGGGACAAACCACAACCAAACCATAGTGCTGACATATTTTACAAACATTAGAAATGACAATGATAAGCTGGGCACTGTGGTGCATGCCTGTAATCCCAGTGGCTCTGGAGGCTGAACTAGAAGGACCATGAGTTCAAAGCCAGCCTCAGCAATTTAGCAAGGTTTTATGCAACTCAGCGAGACCCTGGCTCTAAATAAAACGTTTCAAAGGGCTGAGGATGTGGCTCAGTGGTTCAACCCTGGTACTAAAGAAAGAAAGAAAGAAAGAAAGATGACAAACTGGGCATGGTGGTACAAGCCTATAATCCCAGTGGCTCAGGAGGCTGAGGTAGGAGGATCACAAGATCAAAGACAACCTCAACAACTTGGAGAGGCCTTGAGTAACTTAGCAAGGCCCTGTGTGGCTCAGTGGTTAAGCACCCTTGGGTACCCAAAACAGATAATAACAATGCTGCTGTAGAATGGTAAAAAATGGTTCTCATATGGCAGTAAATGGAAAAGGCAGAATGTAAAAAACTGTGTACATTTTAACAATCAGTAAAGTATGCATGCACATTGAGGGCTATTTAAAAAAATAGTGATGGTAGAATTGTGGGATTTTATAGGTACTTTTGTTGTTATACAAAATTAGTATTAACATGATTTTAAAGAAATAAACCTTATTTTAGAATTTCAGAGCAGCTCCTCACGATTAACCAGTTCCCCATCACCCTAAACCTCATTCTTGAAACAAGGTATGAGGTCTGCAGTAATCCTAGTGACTCTGAAATTGAAGTCAACCTGTTGATTTCTGGGCCCCACCTCACTAACAACAGAATCCTCTGGGGCTGTAACTCAAGAATCAGCAGTTCAGCTAAGCTTCCCAGTGAGTCTAATGCATATTCATGTTTAAGGATCACTGTTCGAGAAGTTCTCAGAATCACATTGCAAACAGATGACAAGAGGGAAAAACAGATTTTCTCTCATGAGAAGCAGGCCAGTTCTCTCTCTGAAAGCCAATTTACTCAGGAGTCAAAGAAAAAAAATGAAATATTTTAATTAAAATAACATATGTAGGACTGGGAATGTAACTTAGTGGTAGAGGGCTTGCCTAGTATGCACAAGTCTCTGGGTTCCATTTCTACTTCCCCAGCATCAACAAAAAGAAAGAAAGAAGAAGAAGAAGAATATATCCATAAAGACAATGTATTTATAAGAAAATGAAATCGCTCTAGGCCTCTGAGCTTTCAGCAAATTGAATATTCCTTAAATGACTGTTAAGAAAAATATACTAATTGAGAATATTCCAGAAGTTCTTGTGAAATTGTGCATTTAGTGATTTCAAAGAGTTTCCATTTGACAAATCGATCCTTTGGGATTCAGCTTTTGTTGACTTGACCTAGAGTAACCTCAAGAAGCCCCAGGTGACCCCAGTGCCTGGGCTCAGAAGCAGTGTAGAGGCCTAGGAGGTGCAGGGTGAGCTGGAAGGATGCAGAGGGAGCTGTGCATGGAATTTCTCTCCCTTGAGGCCTGATGTCCACCCATAGTATCCTAAGAAGGCTAATGTCTGTTTTCTTCCGTCCATATCCAGTTGGGTCTGGAGCCTGCCAGCCATTCACCATAGTGAAGAGCAGGCCTTCCCAATCTTTTAAAGATGTGTGACCCATGCTTTTAGGAGTTTGAAAAGGTTTGTAATTTAACTGGAGAAGGGACATACTATCCTCTTAGAGGGAGCCACTGTATATCTTACTTGGCCTCACCTAGAGGCAGAAGATCCCCATGGAGAACTTCCTCCTCTGGGGGACTCTATGACACGGCCAGTTTTGTTGCTTACACAAATAGCACATGATTGCCAGGTTGGTGAGCAGCTAGTTAAAGAGTCTTCAAAAGGAGACTGTAGGTGGCGCACGCCTGTAATCCCAGTGGCTGGAGAGGTGGAGACAGGAGAATCGCGAGTTCAAAGCCAGCCTCAGCAATGGCGAGGCGCTAAGCAACTCAGTGAGACCCTGTCTCTTAACAAAATACAAAACAGGGCTGGAGATGTGGCTCAGTGGTCAAATCCCTGAGTTCATTCTCTGGTGCAAAAAAAAAAAAAAAAAAGAGAGAGAGAGACTGTGCTAATGCCTGCAGGCACTGACAAATACTGCTTGTCAGGTCACACTGAGTGCTTTTCATGGAAGAGTCTGTGTATTCCCCCATATTCATCCTCCACTATCTCACTGAATTCTCTTGACGGCCCTATTAGGAAGTATTAGCATTGCCAATTTATAAATGGTAAATCGAGACCTAGAGATGCTAGAGCCCTTGCTTGAGGCCTCTAGCCCCTCTGCCTTTGAAAGCAAGCAGGCTGGCTCCATATCTCCAGCTTTCTATGCTAGCAAGAAGTACTCAAGAGTTTATTGCCTGAAACCCATCTGTTGCTAGTGCAGTCTTGCAGACGGGTATTTGAGGAGAACATGAAGCAGTAAAGAATGAGCTATTCTCATAGGTGGCCTGCTAGTTGTTACAGGGGTTCAGACTGCACCAAAGACTTTTAAGTGGTCTCTGAGTCTTGGGGCCCACAGCAGATGAAGCCAGCAATTCTTGGCTGAATCACAAAAGAATAGGACCTAAGGAATTCCTCTGAGTGTCAGGCCTTGGAGGGGATGGGGAGCGTCCGACATGACCTTATGCTTTCTTTGTAAGGATGCATAGGATCCCCATTTAAATCTGAATTTCAGATAAAAACCTAAATTTTTAATACGAGCATGTTCCAAATGTAACATGGGATAGGTTTGCACTTTCTGTTGTTGTTGCTGTTTATTTGAAATTAAAACTTAACCCAGAGCCTTGATTTTTATTTGCTGAGTCTGGCGACCGTTTCTTTGGAGAGACAGTTCCTAACCCAGGGCGGGTGTTCATAAAGGCAGAGGGGGAGTGCCTACAGACAGTGAGGGCTTTGGCTGGAGAAGGGAGAGTTCTGGATTTAAACCCAAGGAGGGAACATGACGTCCTGGGTAATAGATCTGGAAGGTTCCTGGATAGGTGGGAAGGATCTGTGAGAGTTCAGAGGGGGGAGTCCAGGCAATGTGGGGACAGCAGCAGACAGGGAAACGTCTAGAGGAGACTCAGGCTGGGGGTGACCAGAGGTGAAAGGCCAGTCTGGAAAGGTCTTGAATATCCTGCTAGAGATATTGGACAATGTCCTTTCGACAACCATGAGGGACCAATCAAAGCAGGATTTTAGGAAGGTAAATCTGGTGGTGGAGGGTAAGACAATGGGAATGACAAGAGTGAATGGAGGTAGGGAGTTGAGCCTCAGGGTCTGTGTCAGGGGAAAGAAGGGTGACCAGAGGGCAAGCCAAAGGAATGGCCTCATCTTTCTTTCAAGTAGGGCATGCAGGTGACCATCAAGAGGGCAGGAAGCCAATAGGGGCAGGAGTGGGAGATCTGGGCCCTGCTGCAGTCATGGATACAGAATTTCAGATGGAAGATTTTCATGTTGGGGTCACTCTCAAATCAGTCACCTCAGGAAGGCAGGTAGAGGCACGAAGAACAAGAGCCTTGACTTCTTCTTTCTTCCCCCATCCCTGCCCCCTCCAACACACACACACTCTTTCTCACTCTTCTCTCCCTACTTTGTGCTTATTAGGTTTGTATAGGTTTCCATTAAAAGCTAACTACTTCTTCAACTCCAAATAATATTAATCGGGGATGCAATTTCAGCCTTTGGGTTTCATTTTTGCTTCTCTCGAGCAAAGCTTTTAAGCATCCACTCTGCTGCCAAAGCTGTTACCAGCTCGGCATGGGACCCTGCTTCTTGAGTCCTCCCACAGCTGAGACAACCCCAATTCTGGTAAAAGATTTCAAGATCCTCTAGGGAAGTCCTCGCTCATGAGAGGATACTGTTGGCCAGCTCATACCTGCTCTGGCCCTGGCGTCCAGCCAGTCCTTAGAAGCCCGCCCAGCTGTTCTACGTTTTCCCAGCAGAGCTACCTGGGCAAGAAAGGCGAGGCCCAGACAGGTTGGAAATGGAAACGGTTCCAGCCCTTTCCCGGGACTGGGTGGGGCAGCCCAGGCCCATGGAGGCAGGGCAGGGGGACGAGTCTCCTCCAGCCAGGGCTGAGCCTGGTACCCTGGCTCCATCTGATCTCTCTCCCCTGGGAGATGGAGGGCTGGGCTGATAGCCATTGTGACTTTCCAGAGTAGCCTGCAGGGAAGGTGTACCCCAGTAGGCCAGGGCACGGTCCCCAGCAGCCTAGCAGTACTCAGTGAAATCAAGGGTGTTGAGATCCTATGTCAAGCCTACGTTGTTCGTCCGCTGACTGCAGGTCTTGGCTAGTGGTGGCTATCTCTTAATGCCACCCTCCAGGGCAGGGGAGTCTCAGTGTCTTCTTCATGGAACTGACCAAGGCCAGCATGCACTTGGGCTCAGATCCCTCTCAGGAACAATGGCTAGCTGGCTCACACAGCTCGGGGTGACTTCAACCTCCAGGTGACCTGAACTTCAGTGGTGTGGAGAATGGGGAGAAGCCCCGGCCAACTGGCCATTCATCCTCATGGTCTCAGCGAGCCTCTTTCCCAGTGCAGTGGCCTACCCTCCAGCCCAAGGGCTGGGCCCTGGTGGGCAGCAGGCCTGCTGCATAGACTGGCCTTTCCCTGTTTTCAGGGCCCCTCACCTCTGCAGGAACTGTGAGCACCCTTTCCCAGGATGCTCTTCC